TAACCTCCTCTACTACCTAAATTCTCAAAAATCCCTTTAAAACAAATTAGGAACATTTTATATGGTATTTAACAAATAATGAGTTCATTTGTTTATATTAATTGATTAAAAGCAAAGAAAATATTATTCCATAATACAGTTAAAAAGCAAGTTTTACAATTTGCAAAATGTATAAAGAAAGCTTTTTTGTTTTTCTCCTCTGTTCTTATTCGCCCGATTTTTGTCTAATATTTATTTATTTCCTTATCATAAAATAGAAATGCCAAACACTGTAATTTCATCAAATTGTTTTCTTCCCTTTTGTATATTTGCTTCGTTCTATAATTCCAAAGTCAAGTCTTGATTCCGAACTTCATTTAACCCGAACAAAATGGTATAAAAACATTTTATATACACCCTTGTGCAAATTAATTGAAACAACCGCTTTTCCTTTCTTTCACCATACGGTCAGTTTTAGACTCACTGGAGTGACAGGGTGTCATCGATTTCTATTTTTTTCCTCAGATTAGGTCACGTGTAGTGGTAGGCAGTAATCTGACTCTATTTTCGGGCTATGTGATGCATTATTGTCTCGACTGTCGATTAGTTGTCCTAAGGCCACTGTCAGCAATTAACGTTACTCCAAGGAAGCGTACGAAAATTGTAACTCTGCATGAACACACTGGTAAGCTTTACCAGTGAGCAAATCAAAGTACTATAGAATGGACTAGAAACTCTCCTGATTTAAATCCAATTGAGAATCTGTGTTCAATCTGCAGGGAACGATTTCGTGGAATGGACATAAAAAGTACTAATATGTGCACTGGGACAGATTTCATTGGAAAAATACGGGAAAAAAAGTAAATAATAACGGAATTAATTGTTTTGTTTCAATTAATTTGCACAAAGTCTGTCTATATTTCTGAGATGAGGTATTATGTACATTATTTACATTATTCGAACTATTGTCCTCATCTTTGTCGCCATATTTATCACAACGTTTCGGCCGTTGTACGCTCCGGCCTTCTTCAGGTGGTTAGAATGTCGAAGGGTGTATTATTTGGGTTTCTATCAATCCAAAGGTAGAAGTTCTCTTCATTTGGCCAAAATTTGGTCGAAACGTTTTTTCTTTCTTACTATTTGTGTTCCTATCAATTCAGCTTGTTTGCTTTCTTTGGGATTTGTTCTTTTGTATTTCTTTCTTTTTGCTTTCTCAGTGGTTTTCTTTCTTTATTTATTTCTTTATAGCACCTTTCTCTCCTGTTCCACTTCATTTTCTCCGTTGGATTTCATTTAATTGAAATATATTTCGGCTTTAAATAACTCACAATGGGTTGATAATCCATTAAAAAGCAAAACAAAGAGTTTTATTTTCTTTCTTATTTTTATTATTATCATTGTCATTGAATTGCTTTTTTTTCACATTTACTTCTTATCCTTCTATCATTCGTTCTTTCCGTCTTAAGTTTTCGTTTTTCTTCCTTTTCTTTTTTTGGCGGTTTATCTCTTTCTTTTTCAGGTCGCCTTTCTTTCTCTCTTTATTTGGTTTATACAATTTCTTCTATTCTTAGTTCCCTTTCGTTTTATTTTTTTTATTCATGTCCCTCTTCTCTGTATTGTCTTTTGTTTGTTTTTCTCTTTTGTTTTCTTTCTTATTATTCTACCTGCATCTCTCAATGCATTTTTATCTCTTTATCTTATTTCAACACATCTCTCTCTCTCTCTCTCTCTCTCTCTCTCTCTCTCTCTCTCTCTTTCCCTCCTTACTCTTCTATCTTAGCGTTCTTATTTATCATTTTCTTTGTTTCTTCCACTATTTTATTTTAATTGTATTTTACTTTAACCTTTTTCTTTTAGCCTCATTTCACAGCTCTTATCCTTTGTTTATTCCCCCCCCATATTCCCACCTTTCTTCCTTTTTAACTGTTCAATTTTTCTTTCTCTCTTCTTTCTCCGTTTATATTTTTTCCATTTTATTAGTTTCCCTTTGCATTTCGGCACTATTAGATTTTCTTTTAATTTTCTTCTATTCCTTCTCGCTTTCATCCTCCTTGATTTTTTAGTGTATCATATTTCTACTCTTATATTTTTTGTTTATCAAATTTCCTTCCTATTCTTTCTTTCTTTTATTCTCATAATTATAGTTCTTTCTTTTTTCTCGCTCATTTTATTTTTATACTTACATACTTTTTTAATTATATTTACTACTCGCTTTCGCATTATATTTTAATTTTCTTTTTTCATCATATTTATATAGTATCTTGACATTTTATCTTTCTTTTCGTGTACATTCTTTTTAATATTTTCTCCGTCTTTCTTTGTAAGATTCGTTTTTGTCACTTTTCTTTCTTTGAGTTTTTATTTCTTCTTTCCATTTTTTATCTTTTTTATTCTTCTTTTTTATTTTTTCTTCTTCATTTCTTTTTTGTATTCTTTTCTTTCTTTTTTGTATTCTTTTCTTTCTTTCCTTTCTTTTTCTTTCTTTCTTTTCCCATCGCTCAGATTGATGAAACCACTCTAGAAAGAGTAATGCATCAAATTTAACTTCTGCTTAAAATTCCAAATTAATCCGGAAATCCGAAATTATTGACCAGAAAATCAACATTCCTTTGATCTGGAAGAAATTCCATACAAATTCTTTCAAGTTAGAGCGACAACGGATTACGAATATTTTTAAACTGGCTTCATTTTTGGATATTTTCAAACAAAATCGTCTGCAAAAACAGGCAGCTTGAAAATAATGCTTCTCTTCTTGGAATCAAAATATGACAAAAGAACCAAATATAATTTGTACTCAGCGACCGAACTCTGACAATGTTATATTCTGAAAAATTATTACACCAGGCACAAGGGCACATACGTGGAGTACGCAATCAAAATGAATTTACAATCCATAGTAATAGTAGCCTGTCGAGAGCAAGATAATCTACCGATTACCATCCCTCTTCAAAATGTTTTTAGAATTCAGATTTTTTCCTTCTTCTAAATGTGTTGGCCCTTTAATGAACAGAGTCCAGCAAGAAGCCCAGTTATCTTCAAGGTGAATATATATATATATATATATATATATATATATATATATATATATATATATATATATATATATATATGATTAATGTGGAGAAACTTGTCAGTTAAATGAGTGGTGTTATTTCAATGACGCCGACTTCGAAGTTTCATCACCGCATTGTTGTAATGCCTTCACTCTTCATTGCTAGCGTCTTTTTGTATTTATGTAGTTTGGTGTAATTTGATATCTTTGAGTGTGTGATTTTTCTCTTAATGGGTGTTGTATTATCTGGTTTTATCTTTAGGTCTTTTGTTGTTTCTTAAGTGGTTTAGGCTTTCTTGGTAATTGTTTGCGTTGTATTGTGCTGACCTCTTTTGACCGTGATTATATGCATGTTCGCTTATGATAAAATATAGTTTTAAGGTATTCTATATTTATGGATTAAAGTGTATATTATCAGGGATAGAGTGTGTGTAAATTTAAACGGGAACTTTGAAGTTAACAGCTAAAGGCGGCAATCTGTTTCCTGCTAAACGCAATCGCCAGACCATGTATATTGTGTTTTTGCTCGACTTTTGTATAAAGCTCACTGATGCATTGTGGCTAGTTTATTGCATTGTGTCAGTATATTGCGTTATTCTAGCGGTTATCTTAGTGGACGTGGTTTGTTACTCTACATAGATTATTTACTTATTTATTTGTTTGGATTAATTTATTTTACTCTTTTTTGTTTATTTATTTTATTTATTTATTTTCATTTATTTTTGTTTGTTATCTGTTTTCGATTTTTAAGTAGCGTAGTAAAAAAATTGTTTTCGTGTCTGCATTTTGAGACGAGTTCCGATTGTTTTTTTTTGTTTTTAGATTTTTTTTTTTTTTTTTTGGTGGACGGTCTGGGAAGGTAATTATAGTTAGTTTTTACTCCAGGCATAGTTTACCGTGTTTGTCTTGATTGTGGTAGGCTAAGGTTCTTTTTTGTGTGATTTGTTTTTGACCTGCAAGATATGTTTAGAAAGCGTTGTGCTGTTCGCGTATTTGTAAAAGATGTTTTGTGTGCGTGGTTTCCTTGTTTCCAGCGTCCTTCAGTTACTCCTATGTATATTTTCTCTTCGTTATCTACTGATTTTACAGTGGCATAGTATATTACATTGCACATATTTGTCAATAATGTATATGCCTAGGATTGATTCTCAAACGCCGCGCCGCCGCACACTAGTGTGTCGTGCGATCCTCTTAAGTGTTCCGCGAAATATTGTCCCGGCATAAATATATATTTCTTTGTGAGGAAGTAGTAATAGTATAGCGTTGGCATTTGAATAAATGAATAAATATAATTTTTTTTTTAAATAATTCCTTTCACTATACTTCGATTATATTATTTTAAATACTTTTAATGTTCATTTTTTAAGTATTTTTATTTTTTTTTAATTTAACTTTATAAAATTCAACTTTATTTGAATAAATGAATATTAACCATTTTCCATATAACCGTATGCAATATTCTTTGTTTAATTCAACATTTGTGATATTATTTCCTAACATTTAAATATATACCATTTAAAAACTTATATGTGCTGTGATATAGTCATTTGCTCCTTGGTGTACTGTTTCTTAAAAAGGTTGATAAACACTGTCGTCGGATATTTTCACTCTTCAATCTGGGTGTCCTGATGTATACAGTGGTTAAATTTTGGGAAGTTGGTAGAGAACCTTTTCTGGATATTCTCTTGCATACACGATATTTTAACTATTTTTTTATATATTCGAATTTGAATAAAACTTAAGCATCTCTACTACTGACGTCAATGCAGCTAAAACAACTAAGAGAAGAAAAGAAAATGAAATGAAAATGCATTGTATATTTCTACCTCAACGTTGCTTTTTTGGCATGCTGCTATCTTAGTCACTAATAAGAATAATTCAAGTTTTGAGGAAAATATGGATTATAAATATTAGAATTGTGTCCATAATATCAGAAACTAAAAAACAAAAAACAGGAATACTGTGGAACCTCGATTAAGAAATTTAATTAGTTCCTGAATGCTGTTCGGAAATTATATTTCCCATAAGAATCTATGTAAAATGAGTTAATCTATTCCTGGACCCCAGACGATTGCTTATTTAAACTTTTGAGCAGAGGTTCAAACACAAAACCAATGAAAATATTTAAATCTAACACAAAAAAGATAAACACATTAATAATCAGCTAAAATATAGATAACAATTGAATTTATTTTAAGCTTAACTGTACATTGGTTGGTTGATGGCGTAAGTGTAAAGTGGTAGGGAAAGGGAAGGAGAAAGGTGTTATTGATTCGAGAAAAAAATATTTTCTGGGAATTTTCTCTTTCTCTTTACTGTCACATAGCACCACTCGACTCTACTTTAGATTCACTGGACATCTGGCTTACTAAAATTTAATGCAGCACAGCAATTGACGTTCTCCCACTGACACTCTTGGCTTGTGGGTCCTCGTTGTCGCCGGTTTGCGTGTTCGTCACCCAAGACACAGTTTGTCACCAGAGATTTTTTTACTTTAGAAAACTTGCTCGTGAAATGATTTTTTCGTGATGTTAGGCATTCGTGACCCGAGGTTCCATTATATATATATATATATATATATATATATATATATATATATATATATATATATATATATATATATATATATATGTGTGTGCGTGTGTGTGTGCGTGTGCGTGCGTGTGTGTGTGTGCGTGCGTGTGTGTGTGTCTACGTGTGATTAATGTAAAATTGAACAGCAAACTTTCTTTTAAACATCATTTATTAAATATGACGGACAAAGAAAGTTTTCTTAATCTTTTATTTAGTTTTTTCCAACGTTCTTACATTTTTCCGTTTGGTAGAAGTGAGTGACTACAAGAAACGTCCGTGTCGCCCATTTGTCTCAAACGCTTTCGGCGGCTTCCTTAACCATTTTCACGGGGGGGGTAATTTTGCGAGATGTATTACTTGTGAAGTTTTTCAATACTTGTACGTGCGTTTATTTTGTTTCGTTCATTATTTGTTAATGTCCTACGAACATGCATGATTACAATTTCCTCCAGCTATGGATTAAATATCAAGACAAGCTAGTGTCTTTTTGGATGGGAGGAAAACTCTGAATTCAAAACCAACCAGAAGAGGGATGGACTCCGTTTGGCTGCCTTGTTATAGACACACCACTACAGTACACGTCGTACCCCCAACGATCCTAATGCGTTACATGACTTGTACCATAAAAACTGTTATATACCGTACTTATGAATACTAATGGCTATGTCCCAATCCTCATAATTACGTTGGACACTGTTGTAAGTGGGGGGTAATATGCTGCCTAAGATGGCAGCGTGAGTGTCAGCGAGGTAAAACTCTTGCCGTTTCGAACTCTCTGCCTTTAGGCAGAGAGGAACCTGGATGAAGCTATGCCAAAAGGCAGAGTCTCATCTTGTGATATAGATAGATATCCGATCCCGTGTATGCGGAGTCTACGGGAAATTTTTGCCCGAGCCCACGGGCTCGGATTTCCCCACATTAAATTTGGCCTTATGCCGCATCCTACCTCGTGGAGAGGCAAGTAGATATCGTAATATGATGTCTAATTAGTCCATCCCTAGCAGTGGTTTACCTACTTCACGCCGCTGGCGAGTATTGTATCTTGTTGATTACCATTTCATTTCCAACCTCCGTTTTGGTTATTCTTCTTTCAGTAAGCCTTGCTAGGTTACAACAAAAACAAACAAGGAGCCTAATTGTAAACATACTTTTGATAAAATTTTAATGACTAACCAACGTTTTACCTTTTTAGGACTGTATGTAAAGCATTTCGTAATCAGACAAACGTTGTTCTTCGTAATTTTGCGGTCTTACCGTTTATTGTTTTTATATGTAAACGTTATTTAAAAGATGTGAATACCACATTTTTGGAAACATCAGTTTCATTTCTGATGTATTTCTTTATTCATGAAACATTCATAATATTTTGCCTTCCGATTATGTTTTTAAAAGAATCCCAATAAAAATGTAAAGTGATTATCGCATTTATAAACGAACACAATGACGTGTATATTCTCATTGGGGACCCTGAAAATGAAATATAAAAAAAGCATTGTCTCGCTGTCCCTGCAAACAAACTATTAACCAATAACATCAACTAAAACTTATTTTATTATTTTGTTCTATCCGAATATGTTTTAAATCCTGACCATCTTAGATATTATTGCTTGACGGATATAACTAATTTATAAGATCTCCTTTAAAAACCAATATTTTAAATCAATTGTTTTTTTATTTATATTATTTACATGCGTAATATTGTTCTTAGGTTTGTTGTTGTTATCACAGCGTCTCGGCAGTTGCACTTCATCAGGTGTATATAGTAACGAAAACATGTACTAATACCTTAAAAGTTTATTTATACACAGTAATATTTTTCTTTTCTTTTCATACAGATTAGCTTTAAACCATTATCTTTCAAATAGAACCGAAATTTAAGTTCAAAGAAGGTATTT